CATCAGGAAGTGTCTTACCTTCATCTGGTATCTTTATCTTTAAAAATAGGAGACTGAGAGGCTAGCAGGTGGAGTAGTGGTTAAGGGCACTGGACTCCCACATGACCAACTGCAGTTTGAGTCCCGGACTTGGCAACCTGCTTTCTCACTCTGTCTCTCTGTCCCTCATTGGTCAAATTAAAGTAAATAAAATAAAGTTCAAGAAAACAAAAAATGGGAGACTGGATTAAATAGCTTGAAGCTCTGCTCTAAACATAACAGTTCCTGTTTAGGTGTTAAGAGCCACAGGTGTTTTTGTTTCAGCAACATGAATCTTTTCAATTTCCCCAAAACTAGATTCCAATAAATGAAAACAGTTAACGGAAATGCAACATTAAGGCAAAGGCATGAAGCCCAAAGGTCCTGGAAGTTGACTGTGAAATTCATTATAATCACCGATGTTCACATCCTTATCACCCACTAGGTGTCACTACAGATCCATAGCTCAAATAATTGAGAGGAGACTGGAAACCAGATATGCATTAACCAACTAAAAACACCAATGTCAAGCTGGACTGGACATAAATGTTTTCAGATACAAAATAGCACATTCTGCCAAAAGAAGACCTTGTGATGGAGTTCTACTTAGAGATTAAAATCAATTTATATTTAGAAGAAAAAAAGCCCTAAAAAAATCAGACTATTCCCTTGTTTCATAGACTGGTCCACAAGTACTATAATCCATGTTCAGTTTTTAATATTCGAGGGCTAAAGTTTACCTTTAAGCCACTTTTTAGAAGATTCATAAATATTATTCCAATACTTAAGCTACTTTATCCAAGAAAACAGTTTGTATTGGGACGAGCAGGTAGCATAATGGGTACATCAGTGGACTCCCACATAGTCGACCACGGTTCAAGTCCCGGACATGGCAGCTTAAACTCCCATTGGGCGTGTGTGCATGCGTGTCCAAAATCCTGAGAGAAGAATGGAGAAGGAATTGTGGCATGGTAATCCCCAGTGGGGGAATGTTTTCACTTTCTGTCTTTGTGTCACCAGTGAGCACACACATCCTGTAGCAAATCTCTCTCTCTCAAAAAAAAGTTTGTATTATAAATCAGAATTATCCAAAGGTTTCCCAAAGATTTTTTCTACATGTTAATACTGCTAGCCTAATTCAAGTCGAAGCTTAACATGAATAGCTGTAGTTAAGACTGTTGATTTACAAGTATTTGAAAATTCAGGGGCCAGCAGGTAGTATGGTTACTTAAGACGCTGGAATTCCGAAACATGGCTGACTGTGGTTCAAGTCTCAGATCTGGAAACCTGAAAAAAAAAAAAAATCACAACAAATAGATAAGTTTTTAAGAGGGGGGGGCAACAAACACCCCTAGTACATGTACATATGTACCCAGAATCTCAAGAAAAATTTCCTTTCTCTTGGAAGGGACTGCAACGTGGCTAACCCATCAGGGGCTGATTTCTCACTTCCCCTGTCTCTCTCCAGCAAGCATACATACCCAATGAAAAAAATCTAAAATACATATATATATTTTTTTTTTTTTAAGTATTTGAAAATTCGTACATTTAACCAATTCACAGTAGCCCTCATCCAAATTTCCTGAGTTTATAAAGGCTCTCTATGCAAGGGTATTTCAAAAAGTTCATGGAAAAAATGGAATTAAGCTTACTGTAGTACAAGAAAATTTTAAAATCTATGCTTAGCTTTTTCCTAATGTGCATTTTCCATGAAGTTTCTCAATATCCTGTGTAGTCTTAAATTTATCCTTTTCCCTAATTAGAAAATATTTTCTCGGGATGAGCACATATTTATGGTTATGTAGCCGGACTCCCACGGTTGACTGGACGGGCATATGTGTGTGCATGCCCAAAATCTTGAGAATGGAGAAGGGACTGGCTCATGGCCATCCCCCAGGGGGTGATTTCTGATTTCTGTCTCTGACGAGTGCTCACGCTCTACAGCAAAAATCTCTCAAAGAAGAAAGAAAATACTTTCTCTTCAGTATGAGCATTTAATTAAATTTTGGAACTGGAAGGGATCCTAAAATTCTTCTAGTCTCTCCTTTATTAATGAGGAAAACGAGACCATGAGAGGTTAAATGACTGGTACAAGGTTAAAAACCAAGTAGCAGGGACCAGCAGTTAGTGTAATGGTTGTGTTGCTGGACTCCCATGTAGTCGACCACAGTTTGAGTCCCGGACCCAGTGGCTTAAACTCACGCCAGGCACGTGTGCCTGTGTGCCCAAGATCCCAAGAGGAGAATGGAGGAGAAGGGATTACGGTGTGGCCATCCCCCCCGGGGGGGGATTTCTTGCTTTCTGTCTGTCTCTCTGGCGAGCGCACGTGCCCTATAGCAAAAAAAAAAAAAAAAGGCAAGCAGCAGTACAGTCTCAACCAGGACAAGTACTCTTTCTGCTACACCAGAGCACTCTTTGAATTTACCTTAAACCTAAGGCTCCTAACAGATTATAGGGGCGTGCACTTGACAATTCCAAATAAAAAAACCTTTCCATACAAAGATAAGTTACACACAAATAACAGCAGATTACTTCCATAAGCACCACTAAAACTACCTATCTTATTTGGGAAGGTAACAGCTGAAATTTTCCTGGTAAATACTAAGGAAATCGAAGTAATCAATATTTTCATGTTATGTATATTTTCACCTCTAGCTTATTTTTCTATGGGGGGAAAAAGCAAACACAAAGTAAGACAAATACAGAGAAAATCCAATTAATTTGAAGACTAATGGATAACCTCAGCTCTAATTAAGATGCAGCAGTACCCTAATTAAAATCCCCTAGCAATGACAAACTGTGAACTTGGCTCTACTGCAGGGGAAAGGGTAGAAAAAGAGGTAAGTTCAATTATACATCAGTGACAAGATCTTATTTAAATGTGTAATTAAAATATCTTACATCTTAATGACATACTGGACCTAATTATGGATTTGCTATCTAGTGTTAATTAATCCACTGTAACTTGGTAATATATGCACAATACTGATACATATTAGTAAAGTCTACTATCGCCCAACTTAGATGGCAAGAACCCAAGTTTAACTGGAGTTTAAGAGTGTTATGTGACAACAGCTGTGGCTGTTTGCTGAGAGCCCTGGGATAAAATGTTTATATTACCTAAACAAGTAAGTACACAGGAAAGAGCATTCTCCTTTAAAAAGTGAGTGTATTTCAATATGCAGGGGTTTCTCACCAACATCCAGTTCACAGAAATGTCTGGGAACCAAAAGCTTTATAATAAAAGTACCATCAGAGAAAAGGGAAAGATTATGTAACTTCCAATTACATTTTCTAAATCATAATTGAGAGTACACTATCTCAGAAAAATGACAGTTCCTTTTTGACTTTAATACTAGAGGTTAAAAACTGGGAGTTTTTCTGTAAGACCCACAATTAGGAGAGTCTGGACAGAATGAATTCCAGCATCTACAAAATACTTAAATGATCTAAGACTTTCCCTTGGCCTACCAACAAAGGCAGTCAGTTCCTAACCAGGGTTTCATAGATGGACTTCAAAGGGTAGGGAACCAGCAGTTAGTGTAATGGCTATGTTGCTGTACTCCCACATAGTCGACCGCGGTTCGAGTCCCGGGCCCGGTGGCTTAAAACTCACGCCGGGCGCGTGTGCGTGCGTGCCCAAGATCCCAAGAGAATGGAGGAGAAGGGATTGCGGCGTGACCATCCCCCCTGGGGGGTGATTTCTCACTTTCTGTCTCTATGTCTCTGTCTGGCGAGCGCACGCGCCCTATAGTGAAAATCTCTCCAAAAAAAAAAAAAAAGGGTCTATGAACCCCTTAAAATTACATACACAATTCTGTGTTTCTGGAATGAGAAATTTCCTAGCATCTATCTATATCTTTCCTCAGATTCATAAAGTGACCCAAGAACAGAGATTAAGAGCTGTTCCCCAGGACCAGCAGATGGCATAATGGTTACATCACTGGACTTCCGCATGGCTGGCCAACATTAGAGTCCCAGACCCAGAGGCTTGAAACTCACACCAGGCACATATGCATGCATGCCCAAAATCCCAAGAGGAGAACAGAGAAGAGACTGAGGTATGACTGGTGGTTTCTCATTTTCTGTCTCTCTGGAGAGCACATGTGCCCTACAGCAAAAATCTCTTTAAAAAAAAAAAAGAGAAAAGAAAGAGCTGCCCCCTACCTGAGCAGAAAAAATGGCCTTAGTTTTTTATTTTTGTTTTTGTTGAGAGTTTTGTTTTGTTTTTTTTTTGCTATAGGGCACATGCGCTTGCCAGACAGACAGAGAGACAGAAAGTGAGAAATCACCCCCCAGGGGGGATGGTCACGCCGCAATCCCTTCTCCTCCATTCTCTTGGGATCTTGGGCACGCACGCACACGCGCCCGGCGTGAGTTTTAAGCCACCGGGCCCGGGACTTGAACCGTGGTCGACTACGTGGGAGTCCAGTGACATAGCCATTATGCCAAATGCTGGTCCCTAATTTTTTTTAATGAACAGTAAAAATATAGACAGCTTTCAGAACATTCTTATAGACATCTCAAGAATATTCAAAAGATGTGGGAACCAGCAGTTAGTGTAATGGCTATGTCACTGGACTCCCACGTAGTCGACCACGGTTCAAGTCCCGGGCCCGGTGGCTTAAAACTCACGCCAGGCGCGTGTGTGTACGTGCCCAAGATCCCGAGAGGAGAATGGAGAAGGGATTGCGGCGTGACCATCCCCCCTGGGGGGTGATTTCTCGCTTTCTGTCTCTATGTCTCTCTCTGTCTGGCGAGCACACGCATCCTATAGCGAAAAACCCCTCAAAAAAAAAAAAAAGAATATTCAAAAGATGAACAATAAACATGTCAACACTTTTAGTAAAATTTGTTTTGACTGGAAACAGTATTTCCACCAAATAGCATAAACCAAGTATCTTTGCTACAAATTTCTAAAAGAAAGCACCTATATGGAAATGAGGCCTAAACCTTTTATTAAAAACTCCAAAGCATAAGCATTACTTTTCAAATATCAGGGGTTGTTTTTTATTTTGTAAGTAAGCCGTGATATATATGTCATCTTTTTAAATATTTCTTTTAGAAACAGCTTATATAAAATGGTATCCTGAGACCTTTAGTTCTATGTCCCCCAAATTTTCTTTCCAGAATCTGATGAAATTTCTTTTAAAAAAGGATAACTGGCCTAAATTAAAATAATCTAAAAACAGACGTATCCCAGTGGAAAGCCTTCAAGTTCCTCAAAAATGCCACTATATGTCACTCTACTACAGGTCAAGCAGCACGGGTGTGCAAAGGTATCACTTGCTGATCACTCCTGATGGTCTCAGGTGTACCCTATAATCAGTGGTTACCACGCATCATTTCTTGTAGATAAACCGTATTCATATGATACGCTGCCATCCAACTGGGATGTCTCTGAGCATTCCAATAATACGACTGAGAAGCAGCAGCATAATATTCTTGCCATGCCCTGTAGTAAGCTCTCCAGTACTCTTCGTAATCCTGATAGGCATCAGAGAAACTTGGATGTGTATCCCTGTGACAGTCGTACCAACCGTCTTCCTGGGGTTCCGTCTGCAATCGATGGGAAGACCGCCTGGGTGGGTTTCTTCGGCTCTGCTTAGCTCTCTGGTTAGCCCCCTCCTTATGCCTTGTCTTTATTTGAATTCCAGGTGATTCCTGATATTCCTCTAGATTAGGGGTGTCATTTCCATTCAGAGGTTGTTCCAAAGTGATAAGACCATCCACAGGAGTAGATTCAGAGTCCTTCCGCTGAGTATCAGAAGAGCCTTCCAGGTAGGACTTATTTCCTTTGCTCTGGGAAGAAGTCCTTGAGCTGTAAGAATCACTGTCACTCTCAGAATCTCCTGATTGGCTACTACTTGCCAATATCTGTACTCTCTCTTCAGTAATTCTATTTCTCACAAAACCATTTTGAGGATTCACAGTCTGATCCCCAGGACCTGTGTAGTGCCTGATGATTTCCACAGGTTTCTCTAACCCTTCTTTAATATAAAGTTCATAATCCTCTACCAATTCTGCAAAAGCAAAAGTGCGTGGCAGATGGATTTTAAAGGAAGACAGACAAGGAATTTTAGGGAGTGACACAGGTAAAGCTTCTTTGACCTGGTGCAGACTGTTGACAGAGTATTCAACAGAGGTCTCAATAGAATTCTTCATCTGCTCTTCAGATTGTATGGCACAGCCCGGTTCTTTTGGTAATGATTTTTCTATCATTCTACACTCTGAGTGGCTTTTCACAGGAAGCTTTTGTTTGGTATTATTTTTGGATTTGACTGACAGAGCAGTTACTGAAGTATTTCTAGAGGAAGGTATGTGATTACGGTTAGCATGAGCTTTCGGAGTTTGAAAGGTTCTCTCTATTTTTTGAATTTGCTTTTTCAGGGGTTGGGTAGGTTCACTTGATAAGCCATATGTATGTACAGCAGCTTTAACTTCCACATCCCAATCTAAACATTCTTCCATCAGACCAGGAGGAATGGGATCTGCATAGAAGACAGAAAAAAAGTATTAAAATTTTCAAAGTATCTAAACTAGTATTTTCTGGATTTCAGTTTTCAACAGTCAAAAAGTTTAAAGAAACAAAGTAAGTAAATACCCTAAGAAGCCTAAGGAATATGTTAATATTGAACTTGCCTGTCTGTTACTGCTCTTTATGCTCCATCTGTCTGCAGTTCCTAAATTCCTCGGGTCTGGATTCCTCAGTGGAGGCGCTGATGCTCTGCTGCACAAACTCTGACTAAAACTGATTCCAACTCAGGTTGGAATCCAAGCCTTTGCTTGGCTAGGCCTAGAATACAGGCTAATTCCCCACCTATCCTGTCCCAGGCAACAGTCTTCTAAGTGGTCTGGTGTTACACAAATTCACGGTCCAATATAGATCTAATAGGATAAATATCATTCTCTCATGATTTCCAGGCTCTGTTAACATTATATAAAAAGATCCTAATATGTCACTTTCTAGTATCCAAAGGTAAATTTTATTTTTATCATTAGATGCCACAATACTAATTCCTACAAGAAGTCTCAACCCTCTTGTATCAATTTTCAATTTACTTTTTTCTATTAGCTTGTTGGGAAAGTCATGAAGTATTTTTCTGTTTTACTTTGCAAAAATGCATCATGACTTTCCCCACAACCCAATATATCAGATCACCAACAGATTTATATGCAGAGAGAATTGACAGTTTCAGAACAGATAGAGAACCTAAAGACCACCTATTCTGAAATACATTATAAATCTGGACATTTGGCTTAGATCAGGCAGGTGGTGTGGTGGTTGGGGATGCTGGCCCAGATGGCCGACTGCAGTTCAAGTCCCAGACCTGGTGGCTTGCTTCCTCACTTCCCCTTGCTCTCTCTCAAGTCAAAATTTTTAAAAATAATTGTAATAAATAAAAATTATTTTTGAAAAAGAGATATTTATAAAAAAAAAATTAAACTATTAGACCATCAGAAAAGTCATGCATCTTTTTGTTTTTCTGTGTAAGAATGTGTCTTGACTTTCCCTCCTACAACTCAATAAATTACCAAGGCAGAACTACCAGAATCCACAGGACATCCAGATCTGTGCTTAATCTAGCTTTGCAAAACACTAAAGGATGTCATGTGTATTTTTACATATTTATGTATATGTATCTATACACGCACACATATACTGTTATAGTATATATGTGACATAACAGGTATATGAAATAAATTATATTTCCACCCACGAGTTTTTTAGGGTTTTAGTTTATTTTTATGAAGAAAGCAAGCATGTGCTGGCAAGAAAGAGAAAGGACCCCTCCACAATGGGGCAAGGTCACACCATTAATCCTTTTCCTCCATTTCTCCATCCCATCAGGATTTTGGGCACACACACACACACACACACACACACACACACACACTTGCCTGGTATATTTTCCAAGCCACTGGGGCCAAGATTCAAACCATGGTCAGCCATGGATTCAAACCACAATCAGCCATGTGGGATCCAGCTCCCTATGTACAGCACTTAAACACAATTCAAGCATTTTCAATAGTTTCCAAGACGGCACTTAAAAACCAGCATGATAAGTAATTCATTAAAATAAAAGTACTTCACTAAAATTTTTCAAAATAAAATTCAAATTAAAGATATTATTCCTGGGGCCAGCAGGTTAACATGGTGGTTAGAGTGCTAGACTCCCATATGGCCTGCCATGGTTTGAGTCCTGGACCTGGCAGCTTCCTTTCTCACTTTCCCTCTTTCTCTCTCTCTGTGTCTCTTCCTGGAGAGCACATGTGCGCTAGAGCAAAAAACTTTAAAATAATAAATAAAATTTAAAAAAGATACTATTCCTTCCCTATGGAGAAACAACCTTCACAACAACTTAAAAGAGGAAAATAACCATCCAGTATCAAGGAATAAAACCAAATTACAAAATTTTTTTTTAGAGGTTTTTACTATAGGGCGCGTGCGCTCGCCAGACAGAGACAGACAGAGAGACAGAAAGCAGGAAATCACCCCCCAGGGTGGGTGGCCACACGGCAATCCCTTCTCCTCCATTCTCCTCTCGGGATCTTGGGAACGCACGCACACGCGCCCGGTGTGAATTTAAACCACTGCATCCGGGACTCAAACCGCTGTCAACTACGTGGGAGTCCAGCGACATAGCCATTACGCTAACTGCTGGTCCCCCAAACTACAAACTTAACTAAAAGGGGGGGCCAGCAGGTGGCATGGTGAAGGGTGCTGGACTCCCACATAGCTGACCGTGGTTCGAGTCCTGGGCCTGGCAGCTTGCTTTCTTGCTTTCTCTCTCACTCTTCCTCCCTCCCTCCCTCCCCATCTCTGGTCAAATTAAAATGAGTAAATAAATAAAGTTAAATAAAATAAAATAAAAACAACTTAACTAAAAGGCTGGAGCTAATGTAGTAGTATAACATTTTTCATTTTTTGTGTGCCAGTAGTTAACTTGCAGTCCTCTCCCTACCACTTACTAGCTGTTAACACCTTCACTTAACTTCTCCATGCCTAAATGTCATCCACATAAAGTAGAAAACAACAGTATATACCTCATAGGACTGTTGTAAAAATTAAACGTGTTCACATGTATAAAGTACTAAGAACAGTACTCAACACATCATATGCACTCTAGGTAACCTATTTATTTTTATTATACCTATCATCCCTATAATTATTATGATAGCAAGTAAAACAGAAAAAATGTACCTGGTAAAGGGAGAAGATTAATATTACACTTCTGGGCAATTTTCATCATCATATTTTCTTCTTCTCCCTGGCAACAGTAGGTCACTGTCAGTCCCAATGTACCTAAAGCAGAGGGAATGTTAAGTAGCAAATCATTTTCATATAAATGACATTAAGAGTCCACCTGTCCTATTACAGATTCCTTCCTTGAAAATAAGCACTCAAAATTTTTATTTGTTTTTTTACCAAAGCGGCCAGCTCTGCCAATCCGATGCATATATGTCTCCCAGTCCAATGGCACATCCAGATTTACAACCAGATTCACCTTCTCAGCATCAATCCCACGGGAAGTCTTGAATTAAAGAAGACAGTTATTGTTTATTTGCATTAACTGCAGTGTGGCTACCAATGCACACTACATTCTTCTAATATCATAAGAGCCAAATTTTTATTTTTTTATTTTTTTATTTTTTGGAGGTTTTCGCTATACGGTGCGTGCGCTCGCCAGACAGAGAGAGACATAGAGACAGAAAGCGAGAAATCACCCCCCAGGGGTGGTGGTCACACCGCAATCCCTTCTCCTCTTGGGATCTTGGGCATGCACGCACACGCACCAGGTGTTTTTAAGCCACCGGGTCCGGGACGCAAACCGTGGGTGACTACGTGGGAGTCCGGCGACATAGCCATTACGCTAACTGCTGGTTCCCATAAGAGCCAAATTAAGAATAGGAGACTAGGAGCAAAGGAAAAGGAACTTTAATCCTAACAACTAACTAATTTCAAGAACAAAGATCAAAATATTAAAGACTATTTTTTTTTAAAAGGTTTTTTGCCATAGCATCTGTGGGACAACTGGGGAATGGAGGGAGAAAGAGCAGACAGTAAAAAGGAAAGTGAGAAAACACCCTGCAGGGGGATGGCCATGCCGAAATCCCTTGTCCTACATTCTCCTCTAGGGATTCTGGGCATGCACGCACACATGCCCAGCGTGATTTTCAAGCCATAGGGTATTGGAGTTGAACTGCAGTTGCCCACACGGAAGTCCAGCACTTTAACTACTGTGCCACCTGCTGGCCCCATTAAAGACACTTTTAAGAAACTATTTTCATAAGTGCATGATAAAATAAGCTAGACAGTGGCAGGAGAGGTAACTACGGGTAAAACTCAGCTGGTGAAGAGATACTGACAGCAGGGATGAAAGGAGAACTTTTAAGATCAAATATGACTAACATTTCTTCTTAAAGTTTTTTGCTATGTAGTGCTGTGATGTAAACCCTTTGCCATTGAAATATTATTTTACCAAGGTCTGGTATTTTAATTTTTTTAAAAAAAAGAAAGAAAGCATTTTCTCCAACAATGGAAAGATAATTATCTTCTGGTATTCTTGTGAGATACACCCACATAAAATAATAAGTGAAATCTGTACATCTGATAATAGAACATATGTCAGGATGGATTAGTCACCCAAACTGAATAGGAAATTTACCAAGTCTGTGGAAATGAGGACTCTGCAATGAAACTGCTTCAGTTTAGCCATAGCATCAAGACGCTGATTCTGATTCATATTGCCTAAAAAGACCCAAAGAGAGTCACATAAAAACAGCTAAGCTAATACATATTTATTTAATCCACATAAAACAGAATCATAACTTCCAGTCTTAACATTTTAAATACACCAACCACAGTTTAGTCTGTCCTTCTGTGCAAATCTAGGTTAAGATGTAAAGTCAAACCAAACTCTAAAAAGGACCTCACTGATCAAAAATTCTGTTAGATCTTCCATTCCTACTAGGCCAACGGTAATAATTTAACTTTATAGGAAGAACTGACTCACTATTGCCTTCCACAAGACCACAAAACAATCAATTAAGTTATTAGCAGTTGTTAGTTTTAACAATGATTATGGGAGCCAGTAGGTGGTACAGAGATTAGGGTGGCTGGATCCCACAGAGCCAACTGTGCATTTGAAGTCCCGGGCCTGGTGGCCTGAAAAACATGCTGGGCACTTGTGCGTATGTGCCTAAAATCCCAAGAGGAGAATAGAGAAGTGACTGAGGCATGGCCTGGGGGGTAGTTTCTCACTTGTTTGCGTACTCCCTCTCTGTCTCTCTGACAAGTGCATGTACTCTTTTGGCAAAAAATAAAACTTAAAACAAAATGTTTTTCTCTTAAGACAACAAAGACAAACTGTTTTATAGAATTAAGTTTTTTGTGGATGTAACTCAATGAGATTCTAATAAAATTAAGTCCCTTTGAATACTACTTTCCTAACTTTTTTTTTTTTTGAGCGGTTTTTGCTCTAGGGTGCGTGTGCTTGCTGGAGAGAGAGAGAGGCAGAAAGTGAGAAATCACTCCCCCGTCCAAAGAGTATGGCTATGCCGCAATCCCTTCTCCTCCAGTCACCTCTCAAGATCTTGGGCATGCATGCACACATGCCCAGCGTCCGTTCCAAGCTACCAAGTCCAGGACTCGAACTATAGTCAACTACATGGGAGTCCAGCAACATAACCATTATGCCATCTGCTAGTCCCAAGTTTCCTAATATTTTACTGTATATTAAGTTAACCTTTAAAAAACAAGGATATTGATACATTAAATTCCACCTGAAATTTCCTTTACTCTTGTAAGACAACATATGAAGAGGGTATTTCTTCCTTGTGACTTTGGAGGTTTCTGGCTAATATATTAAACAAAGATTAAAGAACTATACTTACCTGAAATGCACTCAGCAGGACAACCTTTAAAAGAAAGAATATCAGCCAAATGTTGTGCTCTAAGGAAAATGACATATGGGTTATAATTTTCCAAATATTGCCCCATGCTTATCCTTTTACTTGACAAGTTCTCTCAGATGACCTTTTAAATTATATTACCTGCTATGCAAATTAGAAAAGACTAAGGCTTGATTAAATGGAATTCTGCTGAACAGGTCCTGTAAATGCTGAGCCTTTTCCTCAAAAATCTTATGGGCCAAAGGGTGTAAGTTTACAACTTTATAATATTGCTTCAAACCTACAAAGAAGTCAAGAGTTGTCAATTAAAACAAAAGTATTCGCTATACCCTAACAGCAACTATGAAATAGCAATAGTCAACTAGGCAACGGAAAGCTCCAGAACGTAACAAACCAGTAATTTACGTATCCAAAATCTGCACATACCTATGAGACTTGGATCACTGGAATTCAGTCTTACAAAAGTAGGATCTCTCATGTACTTTGTCAAAGCATTAGCCAAAAATTCAGGGTAAGTAGCTGACACTGCCAATATCTGTTTACTGGCGGGCAAGGAAGAATAAATCCAGCTACAAGACAGAAAAACATATACCACGGAAATTATGCAGACAATAATCACAATATGGAAAAAGTAGAGAAAGATACTTTGGGGGACCATTTTAATAGTTATTTCTTACTTTATTTGTTCCTGGAAGCTGCCTTCTTCTAGAAGCTTGTCTGCTTCATCAAGAATAAAGAGACGTATACTGCCTGGGTTCAAGTAGTCAAGTTCTATGAGTTGTTTGATTCTGCCTAAATTCCAGGGGGAAAAAAATCGAAGTACAAATGATACACTAAATATGGGCAAATGTCATCCAATGTCATTACTCTACTTATTCATAGGTTGTGTGGCTGAATTTTCTGACTCAACTATCGTAATGCCTTTATGCACCAAACCACAAGTTACAAACCTTGAGTTCTGATACCTCACCCCTTTATTTCATCATCAATAAACATAGGAAATAAATACCACTCCTATCAGAGATTTGGATGCCAAAGCACTGAATCCCAGATCCTCATTCTGAGTGATTACTGGCCAAATGATTTAATTCAGAAGCCCAAGAATAGTCCTATTTCACAACTTACAAAAGCTTCCTGAAAGTCATCTAGTCTCTCCTCTTCTCTGAAGCCTATCCTATGTATATATATTCAAGCATCTTTAGAAATGGAGGTTTCATCAATTCCACTGGTAATCCAGTCCTGTCTCTCACTGGTCTAATGCTCTTCATTTCTGAACAAAACAATTATCACAATTATCCAAGACTCTCATATCCCTTTTGTTATATTAAAAGGGTTCAATTCCTTAAAAGCTCCAGATACCAACAGGCATTGACTGATAACTTACCAGGAGATCCAACAGCAATATGACACTTTTTAAGTTTGGTTTTGTCTTGTGATAATGGAGTCCCTCCAATAAAGACATGACACTCTAAGCCTTCCATTTTTATTCCAATGGCTGTGATAACAGAATGTATCTGTACAGCAATTTCTCTTGTAGGAGCCAAGATCAAAATCTAGGAAAAAAGAAATTAAATATATCTCTAGCAAGTCAGAGGAATAAATATATACAATTGGCACATTCATGAAAGGATACGCTGTTTTTCATTTAAATAATCATTTAAAATTACGAGTTTTGATGTCAAATTTCATCAACTAATTCATGTGTTTATTTGTTCATCAAATATTAAGTAGGGACCTACAATATGCAAGGCAACATACTAGTTGCTGGGGAATAAACAGTTAACAGTACGAAGTCCTTGTTCTCATGGCACTTTTATTCTTGGGCAGTAAGAAGACAAACAATAAACAAACATATATTGATACAAATAATAGCAGGTAATGAAGTATGAAGATAAAAACAAACATGGACAAAAGGAAGAAGTGGCAAATCATTTTAAATGGGGTGATCAAGACAACCTTGAAGGAGGTATCACTTGAGCAGAGAACTAAACATGCAGCAATGAGTAAAACTAGTTGTAGGACACCTGGGGAAGCATTTTTCAGGAAGAGGAAAGAAGAAATACAAAGGCCTCAAAGATGGCAAGAGTTCTCGATGTCCTGAGGAACAGCAAGAAAACCCATATGGCTGGAAAGTAAAAGGAGGAAAGTAAAGGAGGTTAGCAATTCAGCCCCAGAGGCTAAATCACTAAAGGCTCTAAGAGCAAAAGTGAAAACTTTGCAATGTAACTACTGGAGAAAGAAACTCAACTATGAAAATACACTATTGCTTTAAAAAGAAAGAGAGGAGAAAATATACCAAAACACTTAAGAGCAGCTTCTCTATGAGTATGTGAAGTGATAGATTTTATTTTTTGGTACTTTATTTTTCTGATTTTTCCCAATTTTCAAAAATGAGTACATGGGAACCAGCAGTTAGCGTAATGGCTATGTCGCTGGACTCCCACGTAGTCGACCGCGGTTCGCATCCCGGACCCGGTGGCTTAAAACTCACGCCGGGCGCATGTGCGTGCGTGCCCAGGATCCCGAGAGGAGAATGGAGGAGAAGGGATTGCGGCGTGACCATCCCCCCTGGGGGGTGATTTCTCGCTTTCTGACTCTAATGTCTCTCTCTGTCTGTCTGGCGAGCGCACGCGCCCTATAGTGAAAATCTCTCCAAAAAAAAAAACAAAAACATGAGTATGTAATACTTTTTTTTTTTTTTTGAG